ACGCTGAGTCAGACGGTGCCAGTGGGTCCCTCTCAGGCCTTTCTGAATGGCAGGGGGTCTCCCGGGACCTGTACCCCAGGAGGAGGCGTGCGGGGAAGGCCACTGGACACATACCAACCACGTGTAGAGCGTGTGGCCCATGTGCTCCCAGCCCCCAGGGTTCCCAGCTCTCAGCCCAGTTTCTGCTGGGTGGAATGGAGCCAGAACCAGAGTGCCAGTGCCCCTGCGGCTGTGCCAGCTCCCATGGGTGATGTCATGCCCGGGTTGGGGAAGGGCCGCCTCAGATGCCCTTGCCTCCCAGCCTTGGCATCCAAGCCTGGCCTGGGACTCCCGGCCAGCGGGAGGCAAGGAGGGAGAGGCAGAAGGGCTCAGCCTAGCCCCAGGGCATGGGTGTGGAGGGGCTGGGAATACAAACCCTTGCTGGGAAGGCCCCCATGGCCTCTGAGCCCCTGCTGCCCCGGCCCCTAGCGTGCTGTGCTGGTCAGCCTCCTCAGCCTGCTTTTACGGGCATCACAGCGGCGTCCTTGATGGGGCCAGCCCCTAATTAGTGTGAAGAGGAATGTGGTTGTGGGGCAGGCTGTAAACGTGCACAGCACGCAGCGCCATCGCCATAAGAGCCGCCCTCCAGGTGCTCAGGGCAGAGGCTCCGTGGCTGCCATCATGCGGACTGGGGGGTCCGGGCCGGGTGTGGCTGAAACGTGTCGAGGGGGGTGCTCTGGCTCTCCCACCCCAGCTGGCTGGGCCCCTGACGCACATCCCTCTCTGCTCCTTCTGCAGGGGGCTTTGCCACCTTCTCCTCCTGCTTCCCCGGCCTCTGTGAGGGCAAGCCTACTGCCCTGCTGCCCATGAGCATCTCCCAGCCCTGTCTGCCCGTGCCAAGCGTGGGCCTGACCCGCATCCTGCCCCATCTGTACCTGGGCTCTCAGAAGGACGTCCTGAACAAGGTGTGTGCATGGCTAGAGCCCAGAGCAGCTCCTGGGCGGGCTGGGGGGAGGCAGGGCGCTGATGTCTGCCCACTCCCAACTCGGGATGGACGCTGACGGTGTGGGCAAAGCATGGCCTGGGGGGCACAGGAGGACCCAAGGGGGCTGGCAGCACCGGAGCAGAGCCCAGGGGCCCGGCCTGGCAGGGCCGGGTCGGGAAGCAGCTCCCTGCCCCTTTGGCGGCAGAGCCCACATGCCAGACTGCCGATGTCACTGGGCCCCTGGCCAGCCCTGAAAGAACCCCGTATTTTAAAAATGGTGACGAGGGAGGAGGGTGGAGCCACGCCCAGGCGGCCGTAAAATTCCTGGGAGCCTACCGCAGGCTGTGGGCGGGGCTCGCGGTGGGCCACCAGCGGCCCTCAGCCCCAGCGCCAGGCCGGGCTGCAGACTCTGGGTGGGAACCCCTGGGGGGGGTCCCAGGCCCAGCCCTTTGGACAGATGCCCCGGGCTCCAGGAGCCACGGGCTCCTACGTTGAACACATCCCGGGCTTCGGACCTCCTGCTGGGCAGCACCCCCTTCCAGCCTGCTCTTCCGCTCTCCCCTCCCCCAGGATCTGATGACCCAGAACGGGATCAGCTACGTTCTCAACGCCAGCAGCTCCTGCCCCAAGCCCGACTTCATCTGCGAGAGCCGCTTCCTGCGCATCCCCATTAATGACAACTACTGTGACAAGCTGCTGCCCTGGCTGGACAAGTCCATCGAGTTCATCGGTGAGCTGGCCGGGCGGGTGGGGGCCTGAGGGCGGCCTGAAGGAGGGGGCCTGGGAGGTGCTCTTCCCAGGAAGGAGCTGGAGTTATGGGCAGTAGGGAGGTTGGGGCCCGAGCCTGGGCTTGGGGAAGGACCGTGCTATCCCAGCCCTCATCTGCCTCTAGATAAAGCCAAGCTGTCCAGCTGCCAAGTCATCGTCCACTGTCTGGCTGGCATCTCCCGCTCTGCCACCATCGCCATCGCGTATATCATGAAGACC